GAAAATGGAACGCCCTGCAATTTTTTTGGAGGAATTATCTTGAGAAATGAGTTTAGAATGCTTCAAAAAATAGAGATAATTTGCCAGCAAGGACAATTTTATTTGATTTCTAGTGATGTTAAGTTATGCAGTTTGAAAAAGATTTCAGGCAGAATGATTAGGGAATTGATGCTCGATATGTTCTAAAAAGTTTGGAAATTGAAATCAGGGTATTTTTGATTGATATATTTTTTAATGATAGAGACAGCAAGACAACTACTTCTATAGACATCACAAATTTTCGAACACATCAAAATTCAATGACAGGTGACAAAGACAACAAAATTGAACACAGCCGCCGAAAGAAAACAAAATTAATGAACGGCCAGCCGACTGCGCCGACTTTGGGCTAAAACAACAATAAATTCAAATTGTCATAAGGTGGCTCAAAAGCGTTTTTCAAAGTCTTTCCCAAACCCATGAAAGCCCCAGCATCGAGATTCAACTAATTTGAATTTTGGAATCTGTCATCTTGTTGCCAATTTTTCAGTAGTTTTTAGGTTCCCTAAATCCTTGCTAATTTAGCCATAATTTAAAAATAATAAAAAAAAATTGAGCACGTGAACGCAAGAAAATACAAAAGCCTCGGTAATATTAAAAGTATTGCTCTCGGTGGCTATATGACAACTACAAAGTTAACATATAAGTCTAGCTTTTAAAAAACCCGCAATAATACCGGCCTTTAAAAAGTCTAAAAAGCTACCACGTCAACATAACAGTCCAGCTTTTAATCAAGTTTTTCTCAAAAAATCTCTTTCCCGAAAAACCGAAAATGCTACAAAATTGGGCTACTGTAAGCATGGACTCGATCCAATCAAAAAAAATGTCGAAGCAGAGCTTCAGGCGACCAAAACGGTACAAATCAGATCAGAACCCGCGGGGCTATTGAATGGTCCATGCATTAATGAGAAAATAGGACCGAGAAGTTGAGATAGATCATGCGAATAGGACCATGATAAGCCGCTTTCCAAGCAAAGTCCAAAAAGGTTCAGGACCCGCCCAAAAAATCGGTCACATTGATGTCACTCCCCTAGCTTGAATGTGCCCATCCTAGCCACCCTCTCTCACTTTATACAACCCATCCCAGACTCGAAGGGGGCGCGGGCGGGGCATTAGGCAAATGATACGGTAGGGGGGTGGGGGGCTGGGGAGCGGGAGTTCAGTTGGGGTCGTTCCGGGACCACGCTTTCCACTGGCTCATCGTACCTGGGGAGGCCCTACCCTCTCAAAAATCGCGCTCCCTCGCATCTTCCTGCAGCTCCCCCGCGCACCTCCATCCACGCTCTTTTTTTCCTCCGGGAATGACCGATGGTATCGCATTGCTCTGAGGCCCATCCTCAGCCCTGCGCCTCGAATCGCCATCCCCCAACAAACAGATTTTTGCACAGACCCATCATCTGCTGCGGCGGGGAGAAAGAAGGCCGTGAAGGGATTCGGGAGGATTTCCAGGGCCTAAATATAGCCTGAATTTTGGTGTGGACGCAGGATGTACGTGAACTTATCAAAAGGACGCTATCAACCCGCCAGAACACGGATTTCAAGCTGTAGCAATTACTTACGGACTCGCTATCATTTGTGCCATTTTGTGCCATAGCTTTCTTTCCAACCTGATAAATTTTCTGGATGATTAAATTCGGATGTTATGAACTAAAACCGAGAATTTAATGGTAAGCCGAATTCAGCATCTTACTCTCCGAACCAAAAAAGTTGATGAAACCGGAAACAGCTTTTTATGGAAGCAAGCTATTCCAGAAGAGAGAAATGAGTGCCAAATTTTTATGGCTTGCTGTAATTAGCGTAATCCCGATTCATAAGCCAAATTCCATAAATTTTCCTATTTTTGGCGCCAGCCTGTTGACTTCCGAAAGAGAATGCTAGCTGTTCTCGTATTTCTTTCCATTTTTCTATCAATTACTTTTTAAATTAATTTTTTGCTAAAAATAGAACTCGTAGATCTACCGTAGCCACACAGAGATCGTACAACCCAATGAACAAAATGCAGAAAAAAACGTCAATCCCGTCAAGTCCAAGAAATTTAAACTTTTGGGGTCCGGTTACGGTATTTTCCTAGTCTTCGAATTTTGTCATTGCAGATAATTTACAAATAAGGACTCGAGGTATCTAGACGAAACGTTTTTGGCCTCATCCGAGTTTTCAAAGCAATAACACGAGCTCCAGGGTAAGCGTAGACCACGTTTAACCGTTTCCGGAAATGAAACGATATGAGAAAGTTGCTAGGAACTAATCTGCATCTCAGTTGCTTCTAACAACGAAGACTACGGTATTTGAAGTAGCACTACAGTAATTCGGCTTTTCCAGATAGAAGCACAATTAATTTTTAGCGAATGCCCATTTGATAATATCAAAATACCTTGTCAAAAATTTTGCACTGCCAGTTGCAGCATTTTTGGTTGGAAAATGAAACAGAAATTTTACAAAGCTGTGAACATCTAGAAAAGGAAGGCGGTAGCATATTGTCAATGCAAAAATATACAATAAAAGATTCTGCATTCCCAGTTTTTGCCAGTTTCCGACCAAATATGCAACCAAGAAACCGGCCGCAATATTGCGAAACAAAAGACAAGCAGGAAATAAAATATATTGGCCTTATCTTTGCGGTTAGGCTGCGGCTATGGGGGAGCATCTTGTTGTGTTTGTCCTTTAAAGGTCCTTTTAAAGGGCGTCCTGTGTTGTATTGCGTATTTATGTCCTCTTTCCCCCTTTTGGCAACCGGTTGCATTGTTTACAGCATTCATCATAGAAGATAGCATCATCACATCAGCATATTGCGCCCACCACGTGGCTTCGACATATCGCCTCGGGGGCAATTAATGGGGGATCAAGGGTCGCCGTCTCTCTCTCTCTCTCTTCCTCTCTCTCTCTCTCTCTCTCTTTCACAATGGCTGATCCAATCAGACAACCGATCTATCGACGTCATACGTGCAAATTGATTCTCTGTAGCCTGTATCTGGATCGTTCTTTGAAGCCGGATGGAACTTGAAATTTGAAAGAAACATGGAACCTGCTAGTTTAAGCAAAATTTGATTTTTGTTTTTCAGAAAGGATAGAGCGTAAACGGCATTTAAGCACGTTCGCACATTAATAACACCAATTACCGTATCCATTGTTACAGGATTTCAATCTTTATAGTTGTTTCGTTTAATTTGTCGTTGGTGGAAGAGACTACCGTAACCCTGGCCTCGTCCATTGGCGTTGGTTTTTCTGTAACTTTGGACTCGACAATGTCTGACCAATGATAAATACTTGTCGGCAGGGCTTCTCTCTCTTTCTCTCTCTCTCTCTCTCTCTCTCTCTCTCTCTCTCTCTCTCTCTCTCGCTCTCTCTCTCTCTTTTTTTTCTCTCGCTCTCTCGGTCTCCCTCTCTCTCCCTCTCTCGCTCGTCGCTCTCTTGCGCTCGCTCTTTCTCCCCTCTAAATAAATCTCGAAAAGCTGCACTGGGGTAAGCCCTTCACAAATACAGTACCTGGCAGAAGGGTCCTCAACTTACATTTCTTTTTCGCGCTCTCTTTCTCTCTCTCTCTCTCTCTCTCTCTCTCTATCTCTCTCTCTCCCTCACGCCCTATTGTTTGATCGACCAACGAAAATCAGGTCCAGACCGATTCTTACTACTTTTTCGACCTTTTCCGGTGCTCTATTTAATGAGCAGTGGGTGGTGGATTGTATGCGAGTGGTTTCGTTGATTTCAAGAATTCAGCACGTGCATTTAATGAAGTTACTCTCACACGCTCACTTTCTACAATGTGGGAGTTTCAGCGACGGGGCGAATGAAAAGTTCATGGAGTCTGTAAAATCAGGTGATCGTTCATAGGCAATTTGCGTAGTCAGCCGGCAACAGAAACTTTACGATAATGTTCCCAAATGATCTGTTACCCAAACACCTCATTACAGCCGACCTACAGTACCTGGCCCTGCCTAGCCGGGGCCTGAACGCTGGTGGTCAGACTAATCCCGGAAAAAACCACTGCCGTTAATGACGTTGCAGCGCGGGGGCCTGGGGAACCCCCAGCACCCGATGTTTTCTAAAGTGCGCCCGTCGATTTTTTAAGCGGCTTATTGCGTTTTGAGTGAGGATGGGGTGAGTCAGGCTATTGTGTTGATTCAGCAATACGGAAAAGAGCACAGGGCGACCAGTGAAACAGCCAGCCGGTGGGTTGAAAAAGGAACAAATTTTCTGTAAAATATTTTTAAAGGGACTCGCAAGTCGAAAAAATAATATTTGTAAAAATAGCACTAGTGGATTTTTTTTTGCATTTTTTTGCTTTTCACTATCCAATTGCATCTCTCATGCTTACTGTTGCTCTCTATCTATCTCTCCCACTCTCTTTGTCTCGGTATCTCTCACTCTCTCTCCCTCTCTCCCTCTCTCTAGCTCTCTGTGTTTCTATCTCTCTTCCTCTCTCTCTCGCTCTCTCTCACTCTCTCCTCTTACTCTCTCACTCTCTCTCTCTCTCTCTCTCTCTCTCTTTCGCTTCTCCCTATCTCGCCTTGAATTCATCATTTATTCGTGACAATCAACACATAAACGGGGATCTTCGCAATTTCAGCGGTGTTTATGACAAAATTCGTATACATCATGATGTTGTACGGAATGCTGAAACTAAGTAATTTTGGTAGATTATTTATGAACTCACTATTGGATAACCTTAAAATAGGCAGTGATAGCTATCGTTTCCACCAAAATATAGGTGAAGGCGATGGCCAGGCGGGTGTCGACGTTAATCTTGAGACGGCTCATCGCGGCCTAAAATTTTAGGTTCGGTTTTAAAGGGACTAGGAAGTATCGTATGGACGTGAGGACGACTACGCGCTACGTCAAAAAACGGATACAGGCCCAATTAGACAAGAGTTAGGAGGTTAAAAAATCGAGGGAGCTACCTAGCAATCCTATTGACAACTGTCGAGATCTAGCAAAAAGAAGGGGTGATTCCGGAACTTTGGAGTCTCTCTAAGCACTTGAAAATGGTAATGATTACTTACCCTCCGAACTGATTCTCCAGTCCTGTTCGTCATCGGGTCGACGATAAAAACGGCTGATGGTGAGATGGTAGAAGGAGCTAGACGGAAAAATCACCTTAAGCACGCCTTTTCCGACCTCCTTTGCTAAACCGAGGCGCCGCAGGAGCCGTTTTCCCCAAGATCTTCATCTTGTACAGCTTGTAGATGATAGCGGCGTCGGTGAGGAAAAGCATGAAGAACATTACGATCTGAAATTTAGGTTTTCTCTCTCGCTCTCCGACTTTTTCTCTCTCGCTCGCTCGCTCTCTCTCTCACTCTCTCTCTCTCTCTCTCTCTCTCTCTCTCTCTCTCCCTCTCTTACCTTCAGCCAATAATCGAACAGCTCGAAGTTATTCTCCATTTCCTGCTTTTCAGGTATTATGTTCCAATAATATCCAGGAATTTGGTAGACCAAACAATTGCACAGGGTTTCGTAGAGTGTAGTGTGAACTGAAAAAAATTATTGATTACTGCGAAGGCGACTGTTTATGTAAAATTACCTAAAAATGAATCTGTAAATACCCAGAAAAACCGCACCTGTAGCTAACAGAACAGCAATCCCAATGCAAAATCCAGACTTCCACCTCGTAAAGCCACGATAATGCCCTGGGGTGTAGATCGCGATTAGTTGTAGAATGGAAATCAGGCAGAAAATGTATGTCTGCAGCCAGGTGCGGATCAGCTGTATGAACATGAACAGCTCGAGGCCGATCTCGCCTAAAATCATGGAATCACAAGATTTTAGCTTATAAAAGCGGCCGTCTACTACCGAAAATCGGGCAAATTATTTTGCCATCAAGAAAAATTTAAAAAAATTTTTTACCGAACGTCTCGAACTCGGCGATTTTTGCCGCATAGTCGTGCGCCGTCGCCAAGATGATGAAAACCATATCGACTACGACGAGCAACAAATTACACGCGCTCAACGGGTTGTGGTCCTGAAGGGAGGGTACGGTAAGTATACCGAAATTAGAATTTGGTTTTTAACTACTTTAGACGATTTATGTCGAGAAACGGATGAAATAAACACTTTTCTGAAGCGCTGAAAAGCCCAAAACCAATCCAAGATTTATGCGATTTCCATAGAATACAGAACACTACCGTGCCGTACGCTACAGTAGGCTAAATTCCGCGATTATCCAACTTACGGGTTGTCGCAAAAGCCTTCGGAGCGCGTAGTAATATGCGTACATTATAATAAAACGTATTATGAGCTCGATCCATTCAAGAATCGATATTTGCATTTCTAAATTTTAATTTTGCTACCAAAACCAGGAATCAAAAGTCGAAAATTCAGGAGAATTTTTAGGCAAAAAGTCTTAGTTTCGAAAAATTATTGTTTGGGAATGTTTTTCTCAGCCGCACCCAGCTGACCCGGAAGGAAAATTTAGGGTACCGTAAAGCAGAAGCTAAAAAATGGCGCGGAATATGTGGCCGGGCAAACCTGTTGCGAGAATTTCTGAATTAAGGGTACAGAGCTGTGTGAATTTTTGCATTTGAGGCCGTGTTGTGAAAACACGTTTGCGCACCCACGCTTTATTACGAGAGACCCGACAAGGTTTTTAGGCTAGACTAGCCTGTACTTAGTACCACTTTGGACCCGCACGCGAAAATTCAGGGAAACAGGAAAATCAGCTGAATGTGGCTAGACGAAAGTTGGAAATTTCGAAGGCCTTGTGACAGCTGCCGATTCTAGCAAAAAAAACATTGTTTTTAACGTTCAAATGATTATTCCAATCTAAGTAAATGGTACTAGACTTTTAGCGGGGGGGCAGTCTTGTAATAATCCTTGGCGGCACTATAAGAACATATTAACCGTTTTATAGCATTTGACAGCGTTTTCAGATGCAAAACGGAACCAAAATGGATAAAATTTTTCATTAAAGATATGAATTTTGCGAAAAACTGAACCGCAAATCAACCAATTTTTTCAAATTCCAAGTTTTTGCATATTTTTTAAATTCCTGAATTTCGAGAATTACCAGAAAAAACATAGTACTATTAACAGATAGGTGGGTTTGGGTCAAAAGAATTTGCCTCCCCCTTGCTAGCTGTTCAGTACCAAGAACAAACAAGACAGCGATCAAACTGCAGGGAACTGCAAAATTACAACGCACTATCATTACAGATTAAGTTTTTGAATTGGTATCATAATGTAGAAATTTCATAATGTCGAAATTTCATACTGTCGAAATTCAGAATGTCGAAATTTCATAATGTCGAAATTCAGAATGTCGAAATTTACATAGGCTAATATTACCGGTTAAACCGCCAAAACCTAGCCAAAAAATTTTTTCGACATTCTATTTTTTTTATTTTATTGCACGACAACTTTTTTTTGCCTAGAATTCGGGGAATTTTAGCTTATGTAAATCTTCATATTCTGAATTTCGACATTCTGACATTTCGACATTATGAAATTTCGACATTATGAATTTCGACATTTTGAAAATAAGCCTAAATTTTTATATTTTTGCTCTTGTCATTGAGTTATTTTGCCGACAATTCAGGGTCGACGCAGTCAAAAATTCAGCGTCATGAAAGCAGATGGGAAACCAACCGAAAAATAATTGTTTTTCGAAACCATTAATTTTCGACTTGAGCCCAGTTTTTACCATCAAAAATCTCGGAGAATCGACGTTGCGTGAAGGTGGTGGAGACCGAATGTGTTCTTATCGTATCCAGATACGCTTCGTGTTCCTAGGAAATATTTTTCGTTGGTGGCGTTGGCGTACCTCGAGGGAGTTAAGATATCCATTTTCTTCGTCCTAAATTTTGCCAATTTCAAAACCAAAATTCGAAAGCAAGATAGGAATGAGAGAGAAGAGAGAGAGCGAGAGAGAGAGAGAGAGAGAGAGAGAGAGAGAGAGGAGATCACCAATTTTTTTTCATTTTCCCATTGCAACGTACCTTTAAAACTCAGTTCTTAAATTATTTCCCCCGATTTCCGCTTTGCGTACATCACGCACCCATCCCCCGCGATGGCGACATACACTAAGAGATTGCGACGCGGAGATGGACGACCGTTTTCAGGACGCCCAATTTCAGGCCACGCAACAGTAATCTCACGTTGCCATCGCCGCTCATCCCCGATCCGCCCTTTTACGAATAGCGAGCGAAAAGCCGTCCGGAAAGCACGATTTCGGACTCCGGATCGACATTTGTACTCGAGTCGAATTTTTTTTCGATAATCGTGTGCTGCTAAGAATCACTGCTAGTCGACGCAAACTCGGGTTTTGGCCGCTCCAGGAATTTGTGCTAGATCACCGTAACTTTGCGAAGCGATTCCTTCCAGGGATGATTTTCCTTTTGTCGATATATAATTTTGTCAAGGTTTCGAAAAATAAATTTCGACAAATTGATAGCAAATCTCATTCCTAATTGCCTGATTATAATTGTTCTTCTCTTAGGCTAGCTCTCTTAGCTTAGCTTAACTAGGCTAGTCTTCCAGGGTAGGCAAGCTAGTTTAAAGTAGGCAAAGAACCTCTGCTCGCTTACCCTAGCTTTGGGACCGATGTTTTTCTGGATTGCTTGATGCCAAATGATTTTCCAAAAACCCTCAGTTTTTGCAAATCGATTAAAGCCCCTTTCGGGTGCTTTAGCTCACTGCTTCCGTTTTCTCCTTTTTGACTATTTACTGCTCCTCAACCCCAACCAATTCTTGTACTTCTAATCCACTACAAAATCTCCCACCACAGTTCTTCCGAAAAGGAGCTGTCTATAAGCTGGACACGAACTTATTTTGGTGTTTTTCCGGCTGGGTAGATTTGATCTAGCCTTGCCACAAGGCACGTCCATGCCATTCCCATGCGGCGGGCCCCTCGGCAGCCATCCGGAGTTTTCGGTTTTCCGCGCGAAAAACATCCAGGAAGAGCGCCAGGCGGTGAGCATCTGGAAAGGTCGCCAAAATAGCTCTCTTGACCTCCTATTTTAATATTTTCATGGTACCCTTTCATTCTTTTTCAATGTTTTGGGGCGGACATCGGACCCAGATATGTGTGTATGTGCATCTTGTAGAGCTCGACGAGACGAATCGATTGATGTAACTTTTAGCTGCGGATACCTTATTTTAATAAAGTTACAGCAGTTTAAGGTTTTCGGGCCTACCTTCATAAGCCCTTCCCACGTCCCCTTCACCGTGGTCTGGTGGCCTAGTGGTGTAGTAGGCGGCGTCTGGGGAATCTAATGAGGGTTCGAACCCGCTCACGATTTTTATTTTTTGCTTTTTCGTCCAAAGGTCCCTCTTTGCTTTCTAAAGCCTCCAAATAACTTTTTACAATTAACATAACGGTTTATACACCAGGGCCCTTTTCCAGCAATAAGACAATACTTAGAAAATTTTTGGGAATCGACACCCTAACCATAGTAGGGTCAGTTCAAGGCAAAATCGGCGAGAAATTTTTCATGAAAATTGGGGTACGATAAAAGGTTGTAAAGAGGAAGACCAAACTTTCTAAATTCCTCCAAAAATTTTCCAGACATGAGCGAGCACCAGCCAAATCCTCAAAAAGTTTAAATTTTTTCTGAAGCTATATTCTTGCTGGGAACGCGTCTTGGTGTTTAACTAGTGGATAAAAAGTTATTTGGAGGCTTTAGAAAGCAAAGAGGGACCTTTGGACGAAAAAGCAAAAAATAAAAATCGTGAGCGGGTTCGAACCCTCATTAGATTCCCCAGACGCCGCCTACTACACCACTAGTCCACCAAACCACGGTGAAGGGGACGTGGGAAGGGCTTATGAAGGTAGGTCCGAAAACTTTAAACTGCTGTAACTTTATTAAAATAAGGTATCCGCAGCTAAAAGTTACATCAATCGATTCGTCTCGTCGAGCTCTACAAGATGCACATACTCACATATCTGGGTCCGATGTCCGCCCCAAAACATTCCCTAGTTAAGGTAGATTGTGGCAATATTTTGGAAAATGGAAGGATTTGCAGAATGCACAGTCCTTACGCTTATCTTGTGGCGTTTTTTGGAGAAGCATGGCAAAAACTATTCAAAAGTCTCATTTTCGAAAAACCTGATTTTGGGAAAATCCTACTATATATAAAAAAATAGTGTCTGTGTGTGTGCATTTGCATGCAACTTCCGTGAGGTTGTCTCTCACTTACAGCCTCAGGGGGAAGGTTTTAGGGTACGTATGATACGTCGTTAGGTGCGTAATGGTGCAGAGATGAGTGCACACATATCAAAGTTTTTAAAAATTGCTGTTTTCGCAATTAAAATTGGGTTTTTGTAAAGATATCGGAAAATCTCTTTGTTAGGAGCCAATTTGCATGCACCGGAAGTGGGGAAAGCTTATATAAGGGGGTAGCCGGGCCCTTTTCATTTTTTTTTGCAATCAAGGTTCGTGAAGAAATATGTGTGCGTTAGACGGGGCCAGGGTTGAAAAGCCGCGAAGCGGTTTTTCAACCCTGGTTCATTTTTTTAAATATTACTTTGAAAAACGACGTTTAAAGCTATCTTGTTTTAATAAAAATTCTGTACCACGCTGAATTTGCAGCAACATGCGGATTTCGTGATTTATTTTTAGTTTACATGTTTCATGTTTTTTTTTGTTTTTAATCTTTACGTTTACGGCGCCAAAATAGATTTTTATGGTTATATTTTTAGGCTAAGCCATGAAGAAAGACCTCAAATATGCTGCTATTATCATTTGTTCTCTGATCGGCTGCCTAGCGCTGTATAAAAATTGGGAATTTAAGAAAACGGAAGGTACGAAGTTTCTGAATTTTGAGCATCAGGTTTTTAGAAGTATTTTATTTCACCGCATCAGATTTGGAAAATGATGAGTTTCACGATTTTCGGCCTTATCCATATTCTAAAAGTGTGGAGATTCAGAGGAGTAATGAAAGTACGTTTTTTGGAGAAGAAGCGATAGAGAGAGAGAGAGAGAGAATGAGAGAGAGAGAGAGAGAGAGAGAGAGAGAGAGAGAGAGAGAGAGAGAGTGAAATGCTAATCTACATTTTTTAGCAGCAAAAATCCCAATCGCTATTGTTATCATGGTCAAGGATAGTTTCAATGATGAGAATTACCGAATAGCGGTGAACTCGATTCGCTGCTATGCGGAGGTAATTTAATTGTTGGTTATTTAAAATACAAAATCATTTTCATAAATTTATAAGCAATTTTTTCATCTAAACAAATCGTTAAAAACGAAATTCTAGGTCCAAGAATATGCCTATATTTACGTCGACTACAGCAAAAATCAGACGCTACAGAAGATGTGTCCCCAAGAAGACGTGAGTCCTGCTCTTGCTCTCTCTCTCTCTCTCTCTCCCTCTCTCTCTCTATCTCTCGCTCTTTCCGTCGCTCTCTCTCATCCTTTTTCAGTTTCTCTTCGCTCGTCACTGCATTATGGTCGATTTAATGAAACGAGAACCATATGATTGGTTCCTCTTTTTCGGGGCTGACAACGGAGTTATCAACCCAATTCGGAGGTATAAAAATTTACGTTCTTCTAGTAATTCTTTAAAACTTAGGATCGAAGAATACATCCCCGAGGAGCCTACGGTAAATGTGATGTTCTACAACCGTTTTTATAACGACGAGATTATGGCGGATTCGTATTTGATACGGTAACGAACCGACTTTTAAGTTGGCTAAATTTTATTTAGCCAGTTACGAAAAACTTTAACTAAATTTAGATGTGTGATTAAATCGTGTATTTTCAGAAACACCCAACAATCCTATGATTTCCTCAACCTCTGGGTGGAGTACTACAACATAACGAAAGACTACGAGTGCAGTGGAACGGATAATGGCGCGATTCAGGTCGGAAATATCTGTCATTCTTGAATAACCCTTTTAATTCATAGTTGTATAATACAAACTATTCAACTTAATCAATCAGCTTTTTTACTTAATTTTAGGCCGTAGTGCTCGAGTTCTTCGCGCCGGAGCTGAACCGCTGGAACACGTACTGTCAGAAGATGTGGTGGATGGGAAGGTGCATTTTTTAGGAAGAGGAGAGACGGAGAGAGGGAGAGAGAGAGCGCGACAGAGAGAAAGCCAGAGAGCGAGAGAGGGAGTGAGCGAGTGAGAGAGTGGGAGCGTGAGAGCGTGAGAGTGAGGGAGAGCGGGAGAGCGCGAGATAGAAGCAAAAGAATGAGCGAGAGAGTGAGCAAGACATAAAATTTTCAGAAAATATGCCGACCTCTTCCTCTACGAAGCTTGTGCTCAATATTTATTAGCTCAAATCCCGAAAAAGGTGCTTGCCCAGCGAGGCTTCAAGTTATACGAGAAAAGGTGTGTTTTGAAGTTAATTTTTTGGTATGTAATTTTAGCATCTAAATCCCTGTAATTATTTTGTGGGTTTAACTTTGACTACAGGGTGCTGAAAATTAGTTGAATATTTAAAACCCCCTGCCCTATGGGGGATTATAAGGAACATTGTGTCCAGCTTTCAATCGGTCCAAGCGTAGTTCCCCGTTCCTCTTTTTGAGTTTTCCCGCCCACGTGGGGACGTCAAACAACTCTTTTTTCTCGGCCACGTCATCGTGTAATATGCAAATAAGTCATCGAAAAATCGAAAAACTGGAATAGGTTAAACAATTTGTCAATTTTCAGGCCAAGGTTGGTCCCGCGATGGCTGGGTGACTGGGACAAGGTGGTGCGAGCGGGATCTGTTCTTTCATGGTTGGAAGAAGGAGTACGTAAATTTTAATTAAGATTATGTTAGAAAGTTTAAATATACCTCTTTGTCGTGAAAAATAGATAGACTAAAATGCTATTATTGGCTATAAATTGAAGAAACGTTAGCGGATTTTTACGCATTACGTTAAAAACCATAACTTGTTATGAAAGTTTATGTACGTTATTAGGAATTTTTTTAGAAAATTAAACACCGAATGGAAGCTGCCGTTCATCGCTGATGACTTTTTCGACAAGACATGCACTCCTGGCGAGTTCACGAGGTGGAAGTCAGTCCAAAAAGGCTATATTTTTACCATATCCTAGCTACAATTCCCACTACAAAGCCGACTGTCTTGACGTTGATTTGGAGATGCACGTCTTTTTCGAGGAAGCCAGACGAAAATATTATAAGGCGCTGCGAAAGCTGCGCAAGCTGGGAAATGTTCCCCACCAAAATCTATGAAAAATACGGGTTGTGATTTTTCGATTATAGGATGTACATAAATACCTTAGATCTCAAGAAGTGAAGAAAAATCGATAACACCGCAAACTACGCACTCCCTTACTATTTCTCTCGCTCTCTTCTCTCTCTCTCTCTCTCTTCTCTCTCTCTTCTCTCTCTCTCTCTCTCTCTCTCTCTCTCTCTCTCTTTCTCTCTCACTCTTTTTCTCTCTCGCTATTTCTCGCTCTCTTTTTCTTTCTCTTTGCAGTCACCATTTTGCATTTATCCATTTCTAAAAACATTTCTTTTCAATTTCAAAATTCCGTACCTCACCGCCACGCCGTGCGCTCTCCAAAAGTTGTTGTCGGGCACTATGCACGCGACGATTTCGACAACCCTTGCAAAAGCCCTATTTGGCTGACCCAAAAATCCGCTCTCAGCGTTGAAAAATCAAAACCTCAACACGCGCAAATCGGCTGATCATCGAAGAGCGTGGGCCCGCTGAGCGCCGATTTGCATAATTTCTGACCGAAACCAGGAATGGGTTTAAAATACCCCAGGAGAACGGGGGAATACGAGAATTCTCGCCCACTCTGCACAACCTCGTGATGTTTGTCAGCATCACAGCACTCATTTTCTATTTTGGCCTTTTGGATTTTGGCCTGGGCGTCGATCAACTAATTTTTGTACAAACGGTGGGTACTGTAGGGGTATCTTTATTGGCATTTTTGCAAAAAGAAGGGTAGTCTGTTCCTAGCTGCAATAATAGGATTCATTCAGTCTCAAAGGAAGCGGGTAGGCATCGCTCAAAATTTTACACCTGAATTAGGAAGCAATTTTGCCATTCCGCAACGCGTACAGCCTTGGCGCATTATGGGTTGTATTCGATTATACAGGGGTGGCCCGAAGAGTGGTGACCGCAGCTTGCACACAGAATTTCTCTGTTCCCTTATGGGTTTGGGCAAGGCGGGGTTATGGATTCTGTTTCCTATAGATGTTGGCTAAATTTGAGCATACGCTCAGCGTACAACGCAGTCTAGCTTTTACATTAGGAATTTAATTCCATAATTCAAAGTCATGGATTTTTTGAAATCGACAAAATCTAAAATAAATTCCTGTGGAAGAAAATACTTAACGATGCCTTTTCCATCTCTTTAACGAGCGTGCCTGACGTTTCCGGTGAAGCTCGTGGTGCAGCTATGGCCCAGGACCCTCCAACTTGGTCAAGTGACTGAGGCCCGTTATTAAGGGTTTTGACCAAACCATTTTTTTGCTCGCCAAAAGAGCGATCTTGCAGCCCCAACCCGAACCCGCACAATTTTTTTGTGTAGCCGGTCTGAAAGGCCATAGTGTTGGCTACTCCCGATTCAATTTTGGGTTTGCTCGCGAAAGTCTTCATCGAGTTATGAGCCAAATTCGGGCTGAGTGTCTGCGTGCCAGCACCTCCGTTTTCCATCCACTTCCGCGCCAGTTTTTCCGAGTTTGAGGCAAACAAATAAAAAAGTGGTTATACCATGTGGAAGATAATTGTTTAAGGAATATAATGTGCTAAAATGAGCTTTCCTCGATCTATAGTTTTTCAGAAAATCGAAAAAGTTTCGGTCACCACTCTTTCGGGCCACCCTGTACTATGAAAAATGGGCCCCACCTTGCGTAGATAGTCAGGAAATTGCGGTTTGTAGCCCTGCGTAATGTTACGCAGCGTCATCATGGGTTGCGTAGCGTAGCGTATTGGGACGGGGGGTTTCGATGAATTGTGTAGCCTTGCGTAGTGCAGTAAGGTGCGTATCCTGATATTTCTTGCACCACGTAGCGTTTCATATTTTCCTTGGTGATTCACACTTCTGCGTAGCATTTTTTAGCGTGGCGTAGAGCTGTGTAGCGTTGTGACATCCTGCGTAGATTACGCAATAGTACGTTGAGTTACGTGGAGGTTGCGTAACATTGCGTAGTCTTGCGTACTGGGGATGTGTTCTGAAGCTCAGAAAGTCGCACAACGTTAGGTTTCGCGTAGTGACGCGTAGCCATACGTAGTACTATTCGGTCTAGCGTAGCGTAGCGCTTATGCTGTCATAAGTCTTAGCACAAGCTATATACTTACTTCAACTTTTCAGGTCTGGCGCCACGGCGACCGTACCCCAGTGTGGGACTACCCCGGCGACCCGAATGCCGACTACCAGTGGCCAGTCGGGCCTGGCGAGTTGACGCCGGTAGGTAGAACTCATCTGAAATTTTTCAGTTCTTCAAACTTAAACGCCATGCTCAAATTTAGCACGGCGAGGAGCAGCACAAGGTGTTGGGTGGCATCTTTCGGCAACTGTACGCCACCGGCCAGAACTCGTTTCTGAATCCGAATTATGATGAGAAAGAGGTAAGAACAAATTCGGAAACAAACATCCTAAAATCATCAAAAATTCTATTTACAAACTACAAGCTAGGAGGTACAAATTCAGCGGAGACAAAGCAAAAAAGGCAGCCAGCTGAAGCTACCTTTCGAAGATTTTTATTTATAGCAATTCGGAAAATTCCCGATCACGAGACGAAAACCTACAGCCTATTTTCCAGATTTACATCCGGTCCACCGAAATGCCGCGAGCCATAGATTCGGCAAAAGCTGATATGCAGGGCTTCTTCCCGGACCTGACGGCCGGAAATGCTGAAGAGTATGTGGAGAAACTTTTGCCATTAAAATTTATGTGTTTAGACCGGCTTACCGCTCCCGAATTCCGATTCAAACCGAGGACATCAAGACCGATTTTGTAAGTATTCAGATGTAATTTTTGAAATGAATGAGAATTTTAGGCCGGGTTCCTCCCGGACTGTCCGGGTCACGATCGTGCGCTTGTTGAATATATCGATCGGATCGAGGCGCCGGTGCTGGCCAAGTATCAGGTATACTTTAAATATTTTATGAAGATTAAGGGGTGCAATTTTTCGAAAAACGTTTCTATACTCTTTTAAATTATGTTAACGAATCTTCCTGGATCGGCATATAAAATCATCTTTGACGAACCTTATAATTTAGGATTTTCAGGATTTACTCGACCTCATCCACGAAAATACTGGCCTCAACATCAGCCTGCACAACTGGGACCCATATATGATTTACGATCTTTTCCATATTCAGGTATGTCGATCATTTTCTTACTTCTATCAAGGGCCGGCTAGCCGAGACTTGCGGATTGGAGCCACGACAGAGATGCTAATTTATTCACATTTTAGAGGGACCTCTACCACATGCCAGTCCCGGATTGGTTCACCACACAAGTCCAGTACCGTACCAAGCAGTTGGCCATTTGGAGGGTCGACGCGTTTTTGGGATATGGAAATCCGCATTCGGTGGAGGTGGCGAGGTTTAGAGGTGAGAGATAGAGAGAACGATAGAGAGAGACAGGTGAAAGAGAATGACAGGGAGAAAGAGAGAGAGACTAGATACAGAAAAATGAAGAGATAGAGAGCGAGAGCGAGAGAGAGAGAGATAGAGAGAGAGAGAGAGAGAAACAGAGATATAGAGATAGTGAGAGCATGGGCGAGAGAAAGAGAATAGAAAATTAGAAAATCCAAATTCCCAAATTTCAGGCGAGCTCCTCAAAGAAATGCTGCAACGTATGGATGATAAGCTGGCTTGCGCCCAGAATCCACAAACTCCAGGATTGAACTGTACCTTCCTGGCACCCTTAAAATTCTATGCATACTCAGCGGTAAGTGTAAATTCTTGAAATTTGGATTTTCTAATTTTTAGCACTGTAAATTTTGGAAATATTTTATTTTTGAATTTTTAGCACGATCTGACCGTAGCGAGCTTGCTCGCCTCGTTGGGCAGCTACTTGTCAATTCCAGGTATGAAAAAGACCAGATTTCTTATTTTTACAATTTTCAGGCCGTTTCCTGCACTATACCGTATGCGCAACTATGGAATTGTGGATGAGGGACGGGGTGCCGTATGTTAAGGTATGGAAAATAAGAAACTATTTTTTAAGAAAATATTCGTTAAAGACGTCGTTTTCTATGACAAATAAAAAGTTCTTTTTCAGATCCTACTACGTTCCACGCCGTGGGGAAACTTCCACGTCTTTACGCCGTTCACCCCCGGATGCCCGGAGGCTCCATTTTGTCCATTATCGGTAAGCTTTTAATCGTTTTTCATAACTTATAACGAAACTTTAAGGGTACGGTAATATGAGATTCTTTCAAAACATCCTAAAACATTTACAAAACTCCTTATTTTAGACCCTGAAAGACCGGAGCGCGCCGTACTTGCCGAAGAACATCACAGCTGCCTGCGGAGTCGCGTAGTATACATCTAGAAATGCGGTCATTAAAGCGCAACAGACGGGATCTCATATCTATAAATATTTGCTGAAAAATGATCGAAAATAAATTGTACAAATGGACGCATATAAAAAATCTAAATTGAATAAACGTAAAAAATCTTAAAAACCGGTTTAAAATGTCGAAGCCGCCTTGAAAACAATCCAAAACTTGCCATTTTTGTCCTGCTTTTGAAGAGAAAAGGTCGATGTCTACTTCTTGTAAAAATTCAGCTTATAAAAAGCACTCCCACTACAGTAACCCTGCGTTGACGTCGGAGTTCTTTGTAAAAATTTAGCATGCGCGCAAAAATCGTGCCCCGCGCTGTGTAAGTTCGACAGTGATTTGCATGGTTAAGCCTGGTGCGCGGGAGCGCTGGCTCCATTTCGCACCCCCGCCTGTACCCCAGACTAGAGCGCGCGGTGGCTGCACTGCACCATTATATGCGGACTCGGAGATGGCCGACGTGAGATTGATTAGTCTGCCCGAACCTAGTGGCGCCTGGCTCGATGGCGCATCTTTTGCACCCCAGACGCCGGCAGAAATTTTGCAGGGATTTGCGAAAAAATTAGGTAGGATGATACTAATAAGGACATCTTTTTGATGGGAATAAAGGTGTACATTTCGTAGCCGTGGACGCCTAGTTTTCAAGGTGTAATTTGTTGCATTGCGTCCTGGTAAACTGTAGTTTTTCCTATAAATAACGATCACAAGTCTATTCGGCGTATATAAACAATCCCCGGTGTTCATTTTGAGAGTAGACAGCTTATCGCTTTCGTTATAGCATGTGTTTTTACGGGTTTGCTTGACTACACAATTGATTTGACTGAAACAGTACATGCTAAATTCAGGTATGAGGCTTGTATTTTTGCTCGCCGGTATCGCGTCCATTAATGTATGCACGGCGAGGTATTGGTTCCGCCCATCCGGGGTCAAACCGGAAGGTTTGTGGAGTTTCGAGAGATTCACGTTTTATTGATGAGGTATTTTCATAGAACCAGGGCACCAATTGCTGAGAAACTGGACGTAAAAATCTGCTAATCTGTTGCCGTTAACCTTAACAAGTATTTTTAGCACACTTGACAACGCTTTAGTTTTTAGAATCCAATTTCTAGACTGCATATCGGGCGAGGAATTCCACCGGCGCCATGGTCCATGCGATCGTGAGATCTGCGGAAAATGGGGGGTAAACGCTAAGAAAACGTCAAATTCCTTTTTAGAAAAAGCGAAGAATTTAAAAAAAAAATCGGTTTTTGCGGCGTTTTTTTGTCAATTCAACGAAGCATTTAGTTCGCTTGCACGCGCAACCTTGTGTTCGACATTTGCCTCTGTAAGCCAGGCCTTGTGAGGAGGGCTGATGGAAGATGCACGAAACGAGAGGAATGTACACCGGAGGAAATGCGACCGCCACGTGGTTGACGCCCGGAATCGGTGGCTTAATTAAAGACCGTATTACCCAAAACGGACACCGCGAGAATAAAAGAGCTGACGTCCAAAATACATACGAGCAAATAGCAAAAAGCCTACGACACTCGGGATTCCCAAGCCGTCTCCGATCCAAGTACTAACCGAGCCCAACGTTGCTTAACTTGGCAGATCGGACGGGATGCCGTGCTTTCAACGTGGTATGGTCGTAGGCGAGGGTCTGGGGCCTTTTTGCTGACTTTGAGCTCTATTACGGGCTCACCCGCTTAAGCGTACCAGAGTCCTCTTTGGTCCATACCTCGTTTGATACGAAATTTACATCCAACTTCCCAATACCACTTCCGGTTCCCCAAACTACCTCCGCCTGGCCCACTGTTTTGAATGACACCCTACAGTACCCCTAATTGGGTACCTACCAGAAAGTGATGATCCTCGATCATGAAGGAGGAGATTCTGTGCGGAGGCCCGGCCATTGCACTCCCCGGCTGGGCTGAAGCACAACACGATCCTGGACTAAGGGACCGTGTACTTTCCAATTTTTGCGTGAGGGGTCCCAGGCGGTTGCGGGGACCCTGCTAAATCCACAACTTGCTTATTAACAGTACTTAAGCCACTTATTAGAGGGTATCCCATGATTTGTGCACTCCCTTTGGGGGGAATGCGTTCCAAAATTTGTTCGAAACACTCTTTCGAGGAGGTCTCGGGGTTAATGCTAACCTCAAACTTGGGTAATTAAACCGAAGCTGTGGAGGGGTGGGGGCTTTTCTGTCCTATCCTGGTAGGAGATAGCGTTCTCTGACAGGGCAACCCTCCAAAGAGCGAGCATCTGCTGGTCTGCTACCACCGCTCCTTTTCCTGTACGATCAGGTGGTCCTCATCGTCTGATACCTCTAACTCTATCCCAATCCCTAGCCTCCCCCATGGCTTCACCCACCCTCCCCTTCCCCCTTTTGCCTACGACCATACCACGTTGAAAGCACGGCATCCCGTCCGATCTGCCAAGTTAAGCAACGTTGGGCTCGGTTAGTACTTGGATCGGAGACGGCTTGGGAATCCCGAGTGTCGTAGGCTTTTTGTCGTTTTTAGAGGGTAGAAAGTACTTTTGGGCATTACGGCACTTGTAAACCCTGCTGCGCGTAAATAGCTTTTTTTGCTTAAGAAGCCCTAGGAAATTAATTAATCAAATTTTCGAAGTGTTGTATCCGAATTCTCGCACGAAAAAAATTGGAAAACCCTGGAAGAAGCAGGGAATTTGAAGCACAAAGGTAATTGGGATTATGTCGATTTCGATACCTAAAAAGCCATGCTTTTGACGATCAGACCAGCTACTCCTTCAGGCGATCATTGTTCCGTTGAAGACCACAAAATCGGGCAAAACCCGCCCATCCGAATGGTCACAATCGGCGCCTAAAAACAAAATGGGTGCTTTGCATAGATTACGAAGATTACGTCGATGATCATCAGTGTCGAATAAAAACTATGTTCCCGTGGTGAGGTCGAATTATAATCCTTTCATGGGGTTTAAAAGGAGCTTACCAAAAACAATGCGAACTTAGCAACCACCGACAAATGGTACAGTATTCTGGGATTTTATTACTTTCGCAACTTTGGAATTTTATTGGAGCTGAGGATCGACTTATTTTTGTTCAAGCGGTAGGTTGGGACTGCGGTATAACCTTGTTATTATACGAAATGAAGCTACTGCAGTGCTGTTAATTAAAATTAAAATCGAGTTTAAAAAGTCCTTATTTTAAGATAGAAGTTTTAAATAGAATTTTAAAAATGCTTAAATTTCTTTGTGGATTACAGCATGAAAATGACAGTATCGTCAATTAACTCTTATTAAAACACTGCAATATATTAAACACACCGGATTATCGAAAATTCAGAGCGTTGATTTAATCATTTTTTCCTTTTATTACGCGCAGAAAGGGCACGGAACTTTTGTAATTCAAGGACGAAACTAATTTTAAGATAAAGAATTGTTTGTTGACTTTTTGTTCTTTTTTAAATTTTTATTTCCTAGTTGGGTTTGATAATTTTGACAATTTTCAGGTCTGGCGCCACGGAGACCGTACCCCAGTTTGGGACTATCCCGGAGACCCCAATGCAAATTATTCGTGGCCGGCCGGGCCCGGGGAGTTGACACCGGTTTGTTCACGTTTATAACTAACTAAAAACTGTCCCTATAAATCTTTTATGCTAAGCCGACTCCCACCGTTTTATTCGGAAAATCCAGAAAATAAGGAAAATAAAAATTAAAAGACGATGTTTCAGCGTGGAGCCGCACAGCACAAACGTCTAGGCGGGATTCTAAGAAACATGTACGCTTCTGGAAATCCTATTTTTCTAGACCCGAATTACCATGAGCAAGAGGTAATTTAAACGTCATTTTTTCAACCATTGCAATTTCCAGATCTTCCTACGCTCTACCGCTCTGCCAAGAGCAATTTCCTCCGCTCAAGCCGATATGTCAGGATTTTTTCCAAATCTCGGGAATGGTAGCTTACCGGCGTAAGTAAATAAGCTAATCTAAAGTTTTTGGCCTCAAATTTTGCCCGTAATTAGGTGTGCAATGTACGGGATGGGTCGATTCCGCGCTTTCCAGTCTTTTTAAGAACCACTTCAAGGAATTTGAAAGCTTTTCAGACCCTCCTACCGAGGCCGCATCCCGATCCACACGTTTCCGGTCAAAACTGACCCGGCTTTTGTACCCTCCTGCCCGAATTACGATATTAAACAGCAAGAATATATTGACTCGATGCGATCGGAAGTGATGCGGAAATTTGGGGTACGTTTTTGAGGCCGTTTTTCAGGAGAAAGATTCGAGTTTTAGCACCTGATTGATCTTATCTACAACAAAACCGGGCTGAACGTGACATTGAACAGCTTTGACCCTTATAATATTTACGATTTGTTGCATATACAGGTGAGAAAATGGAGAGGGAGAGAGACAGAGAGGGAGATACAGAGGAGAAAAAATAGAGACAACGAGAACGAGAGCGAGAGAGAGAGAGAGATAACGAGCCATTTCCAGAGAGATATCTACCACCTTACTGTGCCCGACTGGGTAACTCCGCAGGTGATGTACGACCTGAAGCAGTTCAGTATCTGGAGGATCAGTACGATGGTTGGATTTGGGAGTCCACCATCTACGGAAATTGTTCGATTTAAAGGTCAGTGTTTTTTTTGCGAGGAACAAAAACAAAAAAAAACTGTTTTTCCGGGCGCGTTCCCTTTAAAACCAGATTTTTTCCGGTGAGTCCCCTAAAAATAGGCATATTGAAGTAGTTCTAGTCTTTTTCAGGCGAAATGCTCAAAGAAATCCTGCAACGCTTTGAAGACAAACTGGCTTGTCTCCAGAATCCCCAGACCCCGGATGCAAATTGCTCGTTCCTGGGCCCGCTGAAGTTTTATGCGTATTCCTCGGTAAGCTCTGTGTTTATGCTAATTTATAGAGTTATTTAGCATGACACGACTGTATGTAGCGTATTGGCATCTTTAGGCAGCTATCCGGCAATACCAGGTAAAGATTAGAATCCATTAACGGAGCAAAAAATGTGAAAATCGACCTCTTGTATCGACTAGGTCCTGACAGCTACGAGACAGCCTAAAATACGCCTCCAGGGGCACTCCTAATTATCATAGCTGTCGCGCGTTGTATGCGTATTTTGGCGCGGCGCGTAGCTGTCGGCTCCTAGTCCGTCGAAGGGGTCGAATCAAGCATTTCCTAGGTCCTTTAAGCGGAGTATTTTAGGTCACTACACCCATTACACAATTTGTGTGGTCCTTGAGCTGTGGATGCGAGACGGAATACCGTATATCAAGGTAAGTACTGCGGCTAACTATTGCCATTCTGATGCCGCTCTTTGATCACCAGGTGGTAGTAGCCAAAAAATGGATGCTTTGACCCCCATCACTTTCCATTTCCCGCTGCCGATCCAGCATCAATCGCATTATGCAATCGGCTTTCCTGGGACTGCAAAAAAAGTAGTGGAACACGAGAAACTTTTGGGAAAATGGAACGGGGTCAGGTTGAAAAGGAATCCAAATTTTTTGTCATGAAATTAAAAAATCGTTGAAATTTAAATGGTACAACATTTTTGAACTAAGAATTCGGGGCAAAACGTTTTAAACGGATAGGAATCTTGCCAAAATCGGTAAACGAGTCTCATTTTTTTGGCTTCCCGAAATCCGTAACAGGCCTTCTGCTTTATTAAAGTGTATAAAAAGTAATTTTGCTGTTTAAGCACGTTTAAGAATCAATTAAATAGGGAATTGAAATCTTAGAGTCATTTAAAAGATTTTTTAGATCAAACTCCGCCCAACCCAGTGGGGCCAATTTCACATTTTCACCCAATTCACGACCGGGTGCCCGTCGGATGAATTCTGTGATTTTCAGGTATTTTTCTGCTGCAATCCGATAATTTTTGCAAAAGCAAATTTTTAAAATCACCAGGGTTGAAAAACCGCTTCGCGGCTTTTCAACCCTGGCCCCGTCCCGATCCGCAAACGGTCTCCACTTTGGATAGTTCTGGCCAAACCCGCTTGGTAAAAAATGAAAACGATCTCCTTTGCTGGCTTATATAGGCGTCAACCGCTTCCGGCAAATGCAAATTCTTGTTTAACAAAGTGGTATGACCGAGTTTTGGCGAAAATCTACAATTTAATATCGAAAATAGCTTTTTTTGTAAAATCTGGTAGGTCGGCAGTCATGCCAAGCCGATTTCTCACCTAATGACATATCTCCCATACCTTAAAAACCATCCCCTGACCCGATACGGGTGGAACAGCCGGACGGAAGTTGCATGCAAATGCACACACACAGACACTATTTTTTTATATATAGTAGGATCATATTTAGACTTTCAAAAACCGGAGCCTCCCGTACTTGCCGCGAAACGTGAAGCTGGAGTGCGGCCTCGGATAAAAATCAGACAAATGAATAGAACTTAAAATTTTAAGCCTCTGAATATGGGTACAAATCGTTGTTGCCTTTATGTGTTGCTTCGTTATTTTTTACTAGAATAAAATATACATTTTAAAACGTTTATTACTGTTAAATTGGTCCATATTTGGCGAACACTTTTTTGTTTTATCATCCAAATTTACATAGCGGTCTCCGGGCGTTCAGCCAGCCATTTCTTGAGAATCTCGTTGGAATACACTTTTTCCTTGTAGGCGGTAAGCTAAAAAAGTCAGTTAATGCAACTTATAATCATTCAAGAATTAAAATTACAAAATCTGAAAAAATGTAAAAATATAAATTACCTTGGGATGGTCCTTGAGGTATTCGGGCTTAATATTCTGCAGGGTTACGAGATGGTCAGCCACGAGAAGATCGGCGTAGGAGAGCTCGGAACCGACCTGGAAAAACGTTGCATTAAAAACAATTGCAATCTTCGATCTTATGCCACTTTCAGCAAGTTTAATTTGGCTTAATTTGTTAATTTAATTAGCTCTGGATCAAGCAATTGTAGTTTAAAGTAAACTACCAGGGTTGAAAAACCGCTTCGCGGGTTTTCAACCCTGGCCCCGTCTAGGACAGATGAAAGTCTTCAATTTGCATGCTTCTTCCCCGAAATCTATCAGGAAAAAAGTGAAAAACGGCTCTTCTGTCGCTTTATATAGGCTATCCCGCTTCCGGCTTATGCTAATTGATCCTTAACAAAGAGGGTGGGCGAGAATTTTACAAAAATTTGTTTTTAATAGCGAAAATAGCCATTTTTCAAAGATTTTATGTGCGTCCAGTCGATTCCGGACCCTTCTTTACCTAATGACGTTTCTGCCCAATCGAAAAAATTCTTCCCTGAGGCTGTAGGTGCGGAACATCCTCACGGAAGTTGCATGCAAATGCACACACACACAGACACTATTTTTTTATATACCAGGGTTGAAAAACCGCTTCGCGGCTTTTCAACCCTGGCCCCCGTCTAGGATCTATGAAACTTTGCATAATTCTTGCCGAAACCGATGACCAAAAAATGAAAACCACGCCCTCCCTTCCTTTTTATAAGCCATTTCCACTTCCGGCGTATGCTAATTTTCCCTAACAAAGAGGAAAGCCAAGATTTTTACAAAAACCTAATTTTAATAGCGAAAATCGAAGTTTTTAAAACCTTTTATGTGTGTGCAGTCGATTCTGGCCCCTTCTTTACCCTATGACGTTTCTTCCCTACCGAAAAAATGCTTCCCTGAGGCTGTAGGTGCGGAACATCCAAACGGAAGTGCATGCAAATATACACACACACACACACAAACACTATTTTTTTATATACCAGGGTTGAAAAACCGCTTCGCGGCTTTTCAATCCTGGCCCCGTCCAGGACCTGTGAAAGTCCTTAATTTGCATGTTTCTTCCTCATTCTAGCAAGAAAAAGTGAAAAACGACTCCTCTGGCTCTTTATATAGGCTTTTCCTACTTCCGGCGCATGCTAATTTCCCCTAACAAACAGGGTTTTACAAAAACCTATTTTTAATAGCGAAAACCACAATTTTTCAAAATTTTTATGTGTGTGCAGTCGATTCCGGACCATTCTAAACCTATTGTCGTTTCTTCCCTATCCAAAAAACCCTTCCCCGAGGCTGTAGGAGCGGAACATCCTAACGGAAGTGCATGCAAATATACACACACACACAAACACTATTTTTTTATATTTAAAGTAAACTATCACTGCAAATGCCATAAAATCGCTATTTAAAGGGCACGTTAGAGACGTTTTTTTTGGAAAAAAGCAAAGTTTTTTGCCGCGGCCGGGGGTCGAACCCGGATCCCCCGCTTGGGAGGCGCGGATGGATACCAGTCAGCCACAGCTACAAGGGGGCGATGGGCGCCCCACGCTGCAAAGGAGGGGAATGGCCTGTCACAGCACGGGCAGGCCGTGTGCGCGGTCCCTACGTCCATAGGGTGTACACGTTGGGACCAGTACACGGCCCCTCCCTGAACGTGCGCTTTAATGGAGTATAAAAACCGTAACTTTTTTGGAAAATCTACAGACGTTGTCGCTTAATGTTGGTTTTATTCATTACTTATAACAATGAATCAAGTGTGACTAAAGCTATACAAACGTTTCATGAAAAATTCTCACCAAAAATCCGCTCTTCGACGCGTCGAGCCTCTTCTCGATGAATCCGTAGAATTTTTCGGCGGCGGGGAGGAAGACGTCCTTGTAGAGTTCTTCCTGAAAGGCATGGGATTCCAAAAAATCTAATTTCCCAATTTTCCTCTGCTGGCATGCCCCGAAAAAAAGCACCTACCAAGTCTCCTTGCATTACACCCATGTTAGTGTAGTAGAATTTGCGAATCTCGTTGTAGTACTCCTTGTATTGATCGATAAGGGCATCAATTTCAGCGGCTTCGACGTTGTTTGAGCCCCAGAGGATTCCTGAACCAAAAAGAAAAATTTTAATTCTGGAATTTTAATCAAACCTACCCCTTGCCTTCAGTTTTTGTAGAAAATATTATTTTTACTGGGAAAACGCGAAAATTAAGCCATTAAGCTACCTCCAAACTCCTTGCTCAGGTAGCGGGCGATGGCTTGCGATTGGGCCAACTTGGTGCCGTCGGCAAGCTCGAGAACCGGAAGCTGGCCGAAGGGCATGGCTGAAAAAACATTCTATCTCTCTCTCTCTCTCTCTCACTTCTCTCCCTCTCTTTCCAGGATTCCTCTATTAATGCAAAACACCAAATCAGGAGAACCCACTCTTCTTGGGCGAGTTCTCTCCCAACCACTCCGGGAAGGTGAAGCGCTTGTCCTCAAAGTCCTTCCCAGCGAGTTTGAACAGCTGCCTGATCGGCTCGACGACGGCGCGCAGCTCGAAGTAGTACAGGGTGTAGCCCATGTCTTGCTTAAAATGATGGATCATTCATGCTGTGATCCCATAACGACAAAAAAATTAGAAACCACAAAGATACTTCAATTGCAATGCAATTTTACCGCTAACAAATACTCAAGAAATCCAACAAATAACTAAAAAGTAAAAAAAAACTGATTAAAGCTATTCAGGGAAGAAACATTAAAAATTTTGCCTCATATTGGAAAAACACGAAGAGCCCGATGGTTCTCGGATAGAATATTTACTTTCTTCTTTAAAAATTTCCAGTCATCGACAATCGGCATTTTTTGCAAGCTAAGTTTTAGAACCGACATTAAGGGATATTTTCCACCTATTTAAGGCAAAAGTTTTTTGCGAACCCCGAAAGCAGGATAACCACTTTCAAAAACCTAACACCAAAGCACGAGCACTCTAACGGTGTGCTCACGAAAAAGAAAACAGGAAAATAAACATCTTGCATGAATGCCGCCTGGAGTTTGGTGAAGTGGGCTTTTCAACGAGGTCACCCCAAAAAAAAATGGCGCCTCCCCCCGTTGTGGCCATTTTCTGTTTACATGACGCTTTTTATCGGCCAGTCCGGGCTGGCTTTGCCTCGTCTCAGAACGGCAAATTCGTAGCCAAAGATTACGGCTTTTTTTGGGACGGGATTGGGTTATCAATTGTAGCGTTTGAGGGCCGGACGGTCTAGTTATAAGTGCTATTTTGGTCAGAATCATGATGCAACGGGTTTTAAGAGAACGGTAAACAAAATTTTCGAAGGTTTTGAGGGTGGTATGGTGCTGTAGATTGCTATTTTGCTGTTGCCAGTGATGCAATAGATCGTAAAGGGACGGGGAAGCCTGTTTTTCCATGTAATTTGGCTTGATTCGTATGTTCGGATTGTGTTTTAGCAGGTGAAACGGTAACTAACGACGAAAAATTAACTTTAATAAGGCTTTAACCTAGATTACTAAACGTATTTTGAAAACGAATTAAAAGAAGAAGTTCAGAAAGTAAAAAGCACAAGTTTATGAGAATATCAATTATTCAAAAACTTGGTAAATCCAGCAAATTTAGGCAAAAAACCATTAATTTTGTTGGTTATAATTTTAGTCTCATTGATACGTTTGATATTTTACCGCAAAAACCGCCATTTTCTAATTTCAATGTAAATTAACTGTAGAAGAACTTTTGGCACATTTTAGAAAATAGTTTCGGAGTTACGAGGCATTTATCTTTTCTCTACAAGTCCAGGCTTTCTAAAATTGTTGAATGCGCTGAAATAGACGCTAGACAATCAGAAACTACCGAAGGTATAGCAGGTGAAAACTTGTCTAGAGTTACTTTGCGTGCCCGGTTTTAAATATAGCATTCCACCTGCTCAGCCCTTGATCAAATCAGGGGCCCCGTGCGGGCAAGGAGGTTTAACAAAACTGACAACTAATTGGCTAAAGTTGTCCTTTCCTCAGCGATAGAGCAAGGGAGTGAGATAGAGAGAGAGAAAGAGAGTGAGAGAGAGAAATGTAAAGAAAAGGCGGTAGGTAAGTAGGTAAATGGAGGCGCGTATTTTTTTAGGTTTGGGCCGTTCGCCTCGCCTCGCCTCGGTGCCCTCTTTTTGCCCTCTGAAGTGATCGAATTTCTGATCGATTCAGCCCAGGAGTCTGGTCGAGACGAAGGCCAACCCTCGGGAAAATTTCTCAACGAATCGAGGAAAACTCAAAATAGCAATCTTTTCCTAGTACAGCGTTTCTACAGGGACTAGGAGACACTGAAATCACCCTATTTCATCCACCAGATCTCGAGAGCTGCGAAATCTGCCTTTCCTGGTCCTTTAAAAAAAATCGGTAAAATTGTTTCCTATCACCTTTGCGGGCTTGAACCTCAGGACGAGCTTAGAACTTTTCTAATTCCAAAACCTGCCCTCGAAAGCTAGGCGAACCGGGGGTAATGGATTGGAAAATCTCGCGTTTTGTGGCAGACGGGAACGTGGTGAGGGGAATTTTTGCGTTTTATACTAGGACATGAAGGCCTTGCGATTGCGATCAAAACACGTGTTCGCCAGCCGAATCTTTTGTTTTTTGTAAGTCATGAATCAAATTTTGGAAGGGAGGAGGCAGGTTACGACGATAATAATCTCGCGTAGGCTTTGAGTTCCAGGAGCTACTTAAGTGGAATCAGTTTTTGAAGAAAGATCTAACGTAAAATTCTGCTCGAAACAATCATAAGAAAAGGTGAAAGTTTCAAAGATTAAAGAAGGTATACAAATAAATACGAAATCGATGCCCCTTTAATTTGAAAAATTCATTAAAAAAATAAAAATAAATATATTCGTATTTTTTGCAGCGATCACTGGGCAACATGCTAGAGACTGGAAGCAAAGAATCTGTGTAGTCTTATCTCGACCACAATCAGAGCCAATGCATCCGAAAGGTTACACAACCCTCGATCAGCCGCCGATCGAATAGATATTGTTTGGTCCGGTGAGGCTCAGGGTCAGCCCCCGGTCGAGGCAATGGGTCTCACTTTTATTTGAATTCGGGTTTAGCGAGAATTTTACTAATTTTCTGTCTTTCTCTATCTCTCTGTCTCTCGCTCCCTCTCATATTCAGCTATTTCAAAGAAACAAGGACCGAAACCGTCCTACCAATTCATCTCTCACTATCTCACTATCTCACTATCTCTCTCTCTGTCTCTCTCCAAAAGTCTCAGCAGCTGGCAAAAGAGCCCGCCCCCAGCTGAGATTTTGGTCTTTGTGCAGGAAGAGTCTGTGTGTCTTTTCTGTTCCCCCAAAAACTACGCTCATCACCCCTGACCCGTTTACCCATGTTTTTATCGATTCACGCGCCACTGGCTATCAGCTATGAACTGTGACAGGTTCATAGACATTCGTGCCCAATAACGCTATTTTTAGTAAATTTTCAGGGCTCTTAATAATTTTTTCGGCTTCATTAAACTTCTTGGAATCGCAAATTTTGCATAAAAGCTCCAATTTCCCTATCTTTTTCGAAGAACGTTGTTTTTCCAGTTTCTCCTGACGAACTTGACGGGTACGTTTTGTTCCAAGCTCTCGTTAAAGGCGCTATTAATGCAGCAAGCTCCCGTACTTTCTTCTTATCATCTTATCAACTTTATCTATACCGCGATTTCTATACTTACAATTTCTATACTTTAAATCCTATGCAATCCAATTTTTTTAAACTTACACTTCTTTCTCACGCAACTTCTCAAAAATGTAAACCTTTTTTACCAAAACTCCTCCTTCAGGATGTCCGCCTCTCCGGGCATCTCCAAAAAAGATGCCGTCGTCCTAGCGGGCTGTGTTGGAGGATCCGTTTTGTCTTATCAGGTTTGAATAGTTTTTTATTAATAGTAAGTCAAATTTCAGTTATTCAAATATCTGCTACAAAAGTGGCGCTCTGACCCTCATGATTGGGTCCCAGTCGGCCGGATCAAGGAATTGTGGATTTATCCTATCAAATCGTGCAAAGCGATTCCGGTAAGATCGAGAGAGAGAGAGAGAGAGAGAGAGAGAGAGAGAGAGGGCGAGAGAGAGAGAGCGAGTGGGTGTGATATCTCTATTTTCAGGTTTTCTCCATGTATTGCGACTATTTGTGCGGAAACAACCAGGAGCTGTTTGATCGTAAATTTCTCGTCACAAATCTGGATGGGCAGTGCGTTAATATATTTTTTATACCATAGTTTTAAGTGATTTTGCTGGTAGATTCCGTATTTTTTAAGGGTGGCTACGGTTTATTTTACCCCCAGCCGGAAGTTTTTGGCTATAACTTTTTTATTTTATATTATTGTAGGCTGAAATTAAAACTCTTAGTATATTTTTCGACGCTCTATCGAATGGCGTTGCAAAAATCCCGACAAAATAAGCGAAAATACCGACAACTTTGAGACCCTTCGGCAGTGGGGGGCGGGTAAAGTAAACTCTTACCTTTAAGGGTCTATCTGCATTTTCCAATGGCTCGAAAATAAACTTTGCAGCTTCTTCACCGGTCGTTTGAAGCCGCAGCTGCTCACCGTCAAAGTGAACGTGCAGGACGACACGCTTCTCTTGACGTACAAGGACAGAAAGACCGAGATTCCACTGAAGCCGATCAACGAGAGGAAGCAGCTCGTCAAGGCCACGTTAGTCTAAAAAATTTTACAACTTCTTCGCGCCGTTTTGCCTTCTAATATCCTTTAAACCCAGAACTTTTTCGGGCTCATTCCACTTCATTTGTCCTTTAGAATCCAAATGCGCTTAAAAAAGCTCGTTTCCAGACTCTTCCGCGATGAACGCCAGGATGGCTACGATTGTGGAGACGAGGCGGCCAAGTTCTTCACGGCAGTTTGTGAAGAGCGTAATTTGAAGCGTAACGTAGCGTATTCTAATCTTATTTAGCTGCTCGTCTGGTGATGCACGTTCCCGGGCTTTACACCGAGCGCTTGATGGTGACGCAAGAGGATTTCTGGAACAACAACGAGGTCCCGAAGCGGACGGATGATGTGCGGTAGTTTGAGGAGAGAGAGAGAGAGCGCGAGAGAGAGAGAGAGCGAGAGAGAGCGAGCGAGATCGTGAGAGAGGGGTAGAGAGAAATAAGGTTTCAAAAAGTCATTTTCAGAAGCCGTACAGCGATAACACTCCCTACATGGTGACCACCGTCGGCTCGTTGGACGACCTGAACAAGAAATTGGAGCATAAGGTATATAAAAGTAATTTTTTCGTGATTTAAAGGGATTGTGTCATCCAGAGGCGATAGAGCTGTCAAGTTAAACGGTGTTTAGCTACCCAGCGTCCAATTCCGCGCAAACGTCGTCGTCGAGGGCTGCCCGGCGTGGGATGAGGACAAGTGGGGAGAGCTACGGTAGGTGTAATAAGCTTCTAAGAGCCCTTTCCAGTCAAATTTGGTGTTGAAACTTTTAGTGTTTGATCGGAAATTGTCAAAAAATTGGCTGAAGAACTTTAACAATCTCAATTTTTAGGTTTGGAGACCGACCCGATTCGTCGGTAGCCGAGATGCAGTGCTACCGACCCTGTGATCGTTGCATTATGACGAAAATCGACCCGAAAACGGGCGTCCCGGATATGGAGGAGCCGTTGAGGACGTTGAGAGAGTACGTTTCGTACCTTACTACACTTTCTGGTTACATCCTACCGTAATCTGATCCTTGTCAACGGGTCGAATTACCTAAAAATCGCGCTCACCGAAACTGGTATCATTTATTTAAAGTAGTTACTGGCCTCTAACACTATATTCCGATACCTAACTTAATTCCGATACTTTCCAGATTCCGTCTCACCACCGGAAAAATGGCCAACCGCTTCAAGGCTCCCATTTTCGGAGTTCACACCGGCATGAATCGCCCCGGCTTCATTCACCAGGGCCAGACCGTCTGGGCTCGGTACAAGAAGGGCGGCGCTTTCTGAGGCTCCGAAATCAGCACAAAATTAATGGATTGATATTCTTAAATACTGTCTGCTTTCTGTGATGCCATTTATCGATTTTCACGATTCCCTCGTTCCTCCGCGATTTAGGTTACATTCGGTGTTGTGATTTGTTCATTTTCTCTTGTCCCCATTTAATAAAAAAATTTGCCTATTTTTTCTCAAAGCAAAGGAACGCGCGCGACTGCAACGCGCCAGGAGCCATTCGTGAAAAAGTTATCAAGATACCATTTAGAGGCATTTTCACGTCTGATTTTAAGCAAAAACTTCAAAATTTGCCTTCGAAAAATAGCCAGGACCACGGTATTTCGTCCATTTTTCTCAAATTCATTTGTCTAATTTCTTGTTGATCATAAAATCAGGCAATTCTACCCTGCCACTCGATTGGAAAAGCTTGAAGAAACCCCATTAATTTATTTAGGAAAAATAAAAAGTCGTTCAGCGACAGTACCTTTCAGAAGATGCCAGAAGTCGTAGAAGAGTAAAAATTTTTAGAAAACGAGACTAAAAACTCGTTTGATCCTCTATTTTTGTCCATTCGGAGCAAATCCATCACCCCGATTTCCCGTACCAAACCGAACAAATCAAATCCGCTGCCACCGCTCCTCGTGATGTCACAATTTCGATCCGGGCATTCCGGGATTTCCAGGAAGCTCGGGTGAGTTATACGGCGGAACACCCACCCTAGCTAGAGGGAGGGCGATGACAACCGGAAAAAACGGTGGATTTCCTCGGGGATAAGTCCCAACTAGCTAGCTGCACGCGCCTCATTCCCGCCCCACCGGATGATTTATGGTGCTCGACTTTTTGAGATCGTTTCAGGGGCTTCGCGAGCTGCTAGAAGCCTCACGTCTTGAGAACAAGCACAAGCCGTACAAGTGAACTTTTTGCATAGCGGCTACGACTAGCTATGGTCAATCTGAACATTGAAACAACCTGGAGGCAGCGGCTTTTAGAGGTTATGCACGTTCTTTGCGAGCTTTTTCCAAGAGCTGATTTTGCGAATTTTTGAGCAAGCTAAATTTTTATAAACTATTGCTTTCTACTATTTTTCGTTCGCATTTGCAACCCTAGCAACTTGCTTGTTATTTTTTACATTTGTTTTTTACTGAGTTTCGATTCTCCTGCTTTAATTTAAAAATACGAATTAAAAATAGGATTTTTCCGCAATTTTTTCAATTTTTGACTTCTCTCTGACTTTAACTTTTGCCGCAGCCACCCATAAAAAAAATAAAAATTTAGTCCAAAACGCGTCGAGGTCCAATTTTTTTTCGTACGCTTACAACAAAATCAAAATTAATTTAATTTTAATTTTTCGATATTTCCAGATAAAATCAGTTTCAGTTGTTGCGTGCGGGGCTTAAGTTCGCGGAATTTGCGCTTTTCCTTTGAATGATTTTTAGCGTAAGTCATGTTTTGTTACGTTAATGTTTTTGTTTCAGTGTCGGGTAGTCAACACGATTCAGTCCTGCTAGAAAAACAAAAAAAAAGCGGAACTTCCCAGTTGGCCAGCTACCGTACCCCGCTCTCTTCCTTTTTCTCAAGGCGGTCTCACCCTGGCGGGATTTATCACCAGCGTGGGCGGCTTGAACCGGCGGTTGTAAAATGGGCACTATCCGGGATAAAAGGATCGAAATTGTACGAGCGGGTGCATTCGGAAAAGCCGGCAATCCGGCTCATTATTCCACCCACCGGTCGCACTTCCTTGGACTATATGTTTTTTTTGAGCGCGCAAGACCGTCTGACTGCCCCGGGGTAGCAAAGATGTTCTTAAGACTCATTCGGCACGTACGAACTTGTCGTTTCGCCGGGTTTTTAGAAACATTAAACGGCAGCTGGGTCCGATTGAGTCAAGTTCCATACACTATTTAAGGAAATAAAACATCACCAAATTAACAGCGATACCTTTTTTCTCTCGAGTCTGATCATACATTCAAAAGTTTTATTTTTTCTGCTCTAGGTTTTCTGATTACTTAATTTTTTTAGTTGCTTTTATTTTTCAGACTTCTGGGTCTCTTTAAAAAACTTGCAAGAAGCCAGCCATTGTTCGCTTTTGGACTCCCATCAAGGTCAGCCCGGCCCGCGACACGCGACGCGCCGCCTGCGCTCTTAAGGGGAATAGCTGGAGTTGCCGTGTAATAGTAACATTTCAATTAATTTCTTTTGTTGATATTTTAAACAATTAAAGATTAGCCAATATTTTATCTTAACATCTTATGGCTCTAGAATCCAGTAACTATCGCTTTTTAAAGGGGTCGGCAAGGCAAGACTGTAGATTCGCTAGGCGGCAGCTACTGATTCGCTAAGGTGCGACACAAAACGCCCGTTTCATTTTCATGGCGTCACCGATCACCACTATATCGCTATTAGCCTGTGCGTCGCGTGTCGCGTCGCAACAAAAATCTTCAGCTCGTTTTACTTTGAAGGTTTTAGCTATAAAATTCCACCAGACTCACTAGACGTTTTTACGCGACACGCCACGCTGGTACGATTTTTTCATAGCGTAATGGGGTTGGCGGTCGTCTGATCGAAAAACACCTGATCGAAAATCGCCTGATCGAAAATCGCCTGATCGAAAAATCGCCTGAGCGAAAATCTCTTGATCGAAAATCGCCTGATCGAAAAATCGCCTGAGCGAAAATCTCTTGATCGAAAATCGCCTGATCGAAAAATCGCCTGATCGAAAAATCGCCTGATCGAAAATCGTCTGATCGAAAATCGCCTCGATCGAAAATCACCTGATCGAAAATCGTTTGATCCAAAATTATCGGGGCTGAAGGACCAAACCAGGTAAAATAAAAATTATTCTTGCCAGGGGCGTAGCTAGAGCCAAATTTCGGGGGGGGCCCCGAAAAATTTTGGCGACCTCCCCCCCCCCGGTCACCACTTTCAAAAGATATTCAAAAATCGCAGCTATAACATGCGCGCGGCGCAAAAATAAGGAAAAGCGTTAGCAACGCGCAAATTCATGTAAAAGCATCACAGGAAACGCGCCGCAGGTACGGAAATTTAATATGGACAGTTGACACACTAATGAAAAAAGCGCCGCAGGCAAAAAAAATTTGGAAAATAGGCTTCCAAGAAGTAAAAACCGTCTTAAAAACAGTAATAAGCAGCGCCGCAGGCAGAAAATTTTATTGAAAATCATAAGGTCCCCCTTTTTTGAGCCGATTTTGGGGCAGCCGCTTCCCTGTTGCCCCCCTCGTACGCCGCCTGGCCCAGTCGGGGCCGGGGCCCTGGGCCGGGGCCGGGGCCGGGGTCGGCGCCTGGGCCGGGGCCGGGGCCTGGGCCGGGGCCGGGAGCCTGGGCCAGAGGGCCGGGGCCTGGGCCGGGCCGGGGGCCTGGGCCGGGGCCGGGCCGGGGCCGGAGCCGCTTGCCAGAGTCACATTCTTAAACTTGTCATTTTTTATTATGTTTCAGCCGTTTCTTTTATGGAAACATCGAGGAACATCGATAAAATCAAAAAAATTTCAAAAAAGAATAGCCATTTTTTCGGCCTTCAGCTTCGATTTCCCGGGGCACCGGCCCAGGGGCCCAGCCACGCTTCACGTCCCTGTTCATCCCCAGCACCTGGAAGTAATTTGTCATACGATGTGCTTCGTGGTTGAGGCTAGACTTAGGTTTAGGCTTGAGGCACCAAACAACGCACTCAACCAACACTTCAGGCTGCAAGCAACCGTCCGTGTGGAATTCCTCAACTACCTTCAGAAGTTCGAGCTCGAAACCCGGGTCAAGCTAAGACAGCTCCGAGAATACGCGCACGCCCCGAAGAAACGCGACCGGACGACGCTCGACTAGCAGCAGAAAATATGCTACCACTTTGATAAGGATTTGCTACAGCAATTTTGATTAGGCGACTTTTCGATCAGGGGACTTTTCGATCAGACGATTTTTCGATCAGGCGATTTTTCGATCAGGCGATTTTCGATCAGGAGATTTTCGATCAGGAGATTTTCGATCAGGCGATTTTTTGATCATGTGACTGGGAATCGCGTAATGGATCACCGGCACTTCGCGTAGAGAAGTAGATCCCGTGTCTCATGCGTCGCGTGTCGCGGCAAGAAGCCAGGCCAACTGTCTTTACGCCGGCGCTTTTTTTACGCAGGATATTTTATCACCAGAACTTCCTCTACTTAGCTAAAGCGTAACCGCAATGTTTTCGTATCTTTTGATCCCGCTGCACTGCTTCCCAAGCGCGTCCGATAGCAAGTTCGTCGCTGCGCAAGCTCAAGAAGTTCCTCGGCAGACATTATTGCCGTATTTAATCACCCAGCTAACGAGATTTCTGCCCCGCTATCATCAACCGGAGAGCACTTCCTGTTCTCCCGGCCGGATCGTGTTTGCCTCGCTTAGGCGTCTGCCCAGTTTTCCCTCCAAAGCCGGGAGTCGATCTTTGGCAGGGGAGCAGGAACTTAATTCGGCTAATCTCCGCCTGATCGCTCGTAAGCTTGGCTAGCCATTGGGATGTCGGTTCCAATGGCACGGCGGCTATGAAAATTATGGTATAGCCGGGGTACTTGGGGGTATTTGAGGACAAAACTTCGATCATTGTCTCAGGTTTCATTTGAGTGACTGAAAATCGTCTAATCCGCGATCTCACCATTTTTAAATTTCATAAACATCTTTTTGGATGCCTAGCGGATTGCGCTTTGCTTTTCCTAATGATTTTCTGTCGTCAACCCTTGGTACCACGAATTTTACAAAGCCACAAAGGTTTTATAGGACACGAATATTGCTTTATGCCTTGTTTCTTAATGTTATTTTGAGTTCTTAAGGCGAATAACGCTCTAGAACGCGTTATGCCCTCGGGTCGGCAAAACGCAATTTTTTTTTGATGACTGCCAAGCAGTAATTCCAGGTCCCATCTATTATCCTATCGCTCAAAATTCCAAAAAAATAAAATTGATCAGATTAAATTAGTGTTTGAACTATTAAACTATTTGAACAACAGCTTAAATAAAAAATTTAGTTCATTTTTTGACGCTTTGTTGTATGGGTTCATAAGATAGTTTAGAATTATTGAAAAGCATCGAAAATGCCGAACGTTGGTTTTCAAACCCATGGGAAACCCAAGGGGGATTCACGTTAAAATATTGCTTTAGTTATATTATTGCATTATTTTAGGCTGAAATTACTACTCTTTATATATTTTACAAGCTCTATCAAAATGCAAACACCAAAAGACAGCGAAAAGCTCAAAAAATTAGCTTGTGAACCCGGTTTTCAATGGTTATTTTGTGTTTTTTTTGCTATGGGTATTTTTATTTACATTCATTTGCTTAAATTAAAAACATTATTGTTTGAATGTTTTTGATACGCTATCGAATGGCGTCAAAAAATTCTCAAAAAAAATGGCAACTGATTTTTACAAAAATTTGGTTTTTCCTACTCTTGCCCTAGGTGTCACTGCACCTTTAAAACGGCTGATGGTCATCTTTTTTTTGCAAAAAAGCGCTATTTTCTGACTGCCAAGGCACTGCAAAAATCAAAGGCTTTTCCGTCATCAGCTTCCCTTAATTTCGAAATTAGTTGCCGCTCGAGGGATTCCGCTTTTTGGGTGGTCCGTGATGCATTCGGCAAATTCCCACCGACCCGTCCCCCATCGCAGCTGCTGCTAATTTGCCGGCCATCCAAAAACTGAAGCTGCCCGAGCCGGGGAAGTCCAGCTCATTCTCGAGCTCCTTCCCGCTCGGGGGTACTCCCCCCGTGCCATGCCCCATTCCGTTTTTGGAGCAATTGGCGGGGCACCAGAGCACGAGCCCGGACCGGCAAATTTAGCCGGATTTTCGGGGAGTCCGAACTTATTTTTCGATTCTGGCTAGCGCACGCCATTCGGCGCGCAAATTGGATGGCGGCGTACATGTACGGGATTTTGCTTCCAGACATCGGCTCCTGCAGCGCATTCTACCGTGGGCACGAGCTGGCAGAGGGACTACGTTGAAGTTCGGGTGACGTTTTCGGCGCAAGCCTTCGCAGAGCAGGAAAAAGACAAGGAGAAGCCGTCAAGATCTCCAGACGAGATTACCATCCACGGTTCCGTGTTATTCTTCTAGATTTGGTAAGTTCTTCGGTTCTGCTGGTCTCTCTTCCATTCTCCCTGTCATTCTCCCTGTCTGTATATCTGTATGTCTCTCTGTCTTTTTTGATGTCTGTCTGTCCACTTCTTCTTGAGCACCCCTCTAGGGTAGTTCCTTAACCCATTATTACCTCCACCCTTCGACCTTATTCACACCCTCCTTGTGGATTTCTTGAGAATGCTACCTTCCAGTTTGGCGAAATAGTTCGGATAATTTTTTCTGTTTCATAACTTCGACTCTGGCTGCTGTTTTTAATATGACAAACTCTACGATACCATTTTTGAAAACTGAACTCTGTATGCGCCTGATTTTAATTTGTAATTTTTCATAGAATGAACCTTCCTTGTTTTCTCCCCTTGTGGAGGGCTTGCGATAGATACAGTAATCGTCAAGAATGGGCGTTTCTTGGGGGAAATTAGATTATTTTAATAGAAACGAGCGTATAACGATCAATACCAAAATGAATAAAATGAAACCTACATTCCTTGTATAAAAACAAGGCCCAGTCTGGCCCTTGCTGCAAATCAGCGGCTTCCGCGCTATCACTGTCGCGATCAGGATGAGCATCGAAACAACTAGCTGTCTAGCACCCAAAACCGGTCCCAAAAAGTGGGTGTACTTATTACGACACGTACCGTATCCCATAGCCCGAATCCCCATTCTCATTTTCGATTCTATTTTACGAGAATCCACTGATTGCTGCCCATTTCAGTACGTGAAGAGCCCCGATTCGAATCAGCCTGCCAAGAATTCCCAAGGATTCCATGATTCCGCTGTTTCTGCGGGTTTTCTTCGCATTTTTGTGTTTTCATCAGTTGAATGAAGCTTGTATCCGGATGATACCGAGGTCAGTTAAATTTTATTAACTTAAGGAAGCCGGGAAAGACTAAAACTTTTTGATAAATTTGAGAAAAATGCAAAATTTGAACTACGCAATAATAAAGACTACGCCATTAAAGGGACGGGCAAGGCAAACCACGAAATTTCCAAAGCCTAACACAACCAATTTCGCCCTCTAGCGTCCGATTTTTCTAATGCAAATAAAGGAGGTGTTTTACAACTCTTTATTAGTCTTAGATGCAAAAATGCAAAAACCAAACGTACGTACCTTACTTATGAATTTTAGCCCCGGCCCTACCACCACCACAACAACCATTGCCCCTACAACCACCACGTCAACAGCAGCACCGACGTGAGTTTTCGCAGTGTCTTTTCCCCTCTTTGTCTTTTTTGTACAAATGGTCTTTTGCTCTTCCTTTGATGCGCAAGATCACCTTTCGTAGCACGACGACTACGACGACGACGGCAGATACGACCACGACTACTACTACAACTACCACTACAACAACTACCACCACTACCACGACAACCACGACGACGACGCCAGGTACACTTTTTCTGACTTCAGCACGGTTTAGAACCAACAGCACAAAAAAGCTGATGCCTTAGCTATAACCGATTGTTTCAGTCTGCGCCTCTTGTGCTCAAAATCTGGCAATTATCCCGGAAGATGATCTGCCTGGTGCTCCGCAGGGAACTGGCACGTTTACTTATAGGTTGGTCGGTCTCTCTCGCTATCTCTGTCTCTCTCTACCTCTCACTCACTATTCTCTCTCGCTCTCTCTCTCGCTCTCTCTCTCTCTCTCTCTCTCTCTCTCTCTCTCTATTTCTCTCTTTCTCTCTTTCTTTCCCCCGAGATCGCTAAGTAAGATGTTGCAGCCCAAATGCCGCCGGATGTATCACGGCCTCCCTGAGCTGCTCGGCTCCTGGATTTGTACTGGCCAGCGCCAGAGTAGTGAGTGGTTTTCTTAGACAGGACGAAATTTTAATGAAGCTCGAAGAAATGTAGCAATACTTAGTAAATTAATTTAATTCAAAATTAACAATAAATTACAAGATATTTATTTATAACACTTTTTTAGAATGGCGAGTGGTTCGCGTTCGGCCAGGACTGCATGACGACAGCTCTGGAAGGGAATATTGTCTGTGATGATATGGGAGTCTGGCAATTCGAGCCGGCCGTACAACCCGGAACTTTCGTAAGTTATGTTTACCAATTTCTCGATTTTCTCTTTATTTTAGTATTCCCCCGTCGACTACGCGTGCACGGAGGCCAGTCCGACTTGCTGAGCTTCAACTAACGAGACAACCAGTGTCTCGAAATTCTCGATTCAAGGGACATCGTGAATTTGATCTCTGCCAAAAGCGTGGAAGCAAGAACCGGTTGTGCCTAATAAAGATTTTACCGAAATTCTGCCGCGCTGGCGCTCACACGGTTGTATTGTTAAGACCACACAGGTGGTCAGAAAAATGATACGAGCCGGGTGTAAATTCTCACGATCTGCTCCGCGAGCTGCCAATCGGTTTTACTTCCGACAGCTCAGAAATGTGGCTACCGGTTCTGCTAATCACGATACTTCTTAGCAACCCCATCGAAGCTGGCTGCTATGGAAATGTACCGACGCCAGGGTGGGAAAAAGCTAAAAAATAGAACGATACAGCATTCCGGAATTTTTGCTCGAAATTCGATATTTTTAGCTACGGTGCACTTTACCCCTCCCAGCCGGAATGTTTTGGCTATAACTTTTTTTAATTGACATGCTTGTAGGTTCGAAATAAAACTCTTAGTTTATTTTTCGACGCTCTATCGAACCGCGTTGCAAAATCTCGACCAAACCAACCGAAAATACCGAAAACATTGAGACCCTTCGGCTAAATGAGGGGTATAGTAGACTCTAACCATATTTTTTTTTTAAAGTCATGCGGTTGTTTGCAATAACTGATTCTAATTCGGTGAAGCCCCATTTAGGCTGCGTCTTTTGAAAAATCTTCTGGAAAGGCCTTCAAAAACCGCGTTAGGGTCTCCAGAAAAAGCTCAAAAAGGTATAGTCAACAAGTTAAAGTTAGCTTAAAATTATCGTTTTGAAAAACCCTTCCTGGGAAAAAAATCCGATACGTTGGCGATCCGCTAAAGCCGGATTTTTTGGGACTTTTTACAGTACTTCCGGAGATTTGAGAAGGAACACCTTCATTAGTTATTTTCTCCAAAAAAAACTTTGTTAATACTGTAACTGAATTGAAAAACCAAACTAGTTACAGTTAGCAACAAATTAAGCAATTCAAGTGTCGTGTGTTTTTGCACACCCTGAAGCTTCTAAAAAGTCGTTGGAAAACTCCTCCTCGTCTCCATGACGTTCCCACGTTTTATGTCAAAAGGTTGCCATTGGTCTTGCAGCCACAAGATTAATGTTGTCCCGCAATATTCACACGGAATATGTACTTCTGAGTCCCTATATATAATCGGGGGCCACCAAAGCTGAGTGTAGTGGCGATACGACAGCCTGCAAAATGTCGCTGTTGCTCCTTTGGGTGTCTCTAGTTTTTGTAATTTCTGTCGAGGCCGGATATGGCATGTTTCCAGTCCCATCGTAGGCTTTATAAAACTCTACATAATAATCGGTGATGCCTAGAACAATGATTTTTTTCATATATCGAGTTGATATCCGTAATTTCGAAATGTCGTATTGCCCAAATTGTTGAAAAACGCGTTTTCCGAATCCTGAATGCAAATGCAAATGCAAAAAGTTGTTTATATTCGAAGTTCGTCATCGTGAAATTTCGACATTTCAAATTTCGATATTCTGAAACTCCGACATTCTGAAATTTAGAGATTCTGAAATCTCGATATATTTACCCTAAAATCCCGAGTATAGTTCCGGTACACTTTGGCGACGTACCAATACAAATGAGGTTCTAATCACGTGCGTCCCCGGCATTTCGCCGCAAAAGCTATGTAAGCCAAAAGAAGCGGTTCTTAGGACTTCCTGCATCAATTTCTTTCATTCAACCACTCAAAATGCTGGAAATAGTCAACATATGAGTAAATATTCAACCAAAAAGGCCAAAATACCTTTCACGAACGAAGTTATTTGCTAGAAACCGAAAAAACGAAACACACCACTTTACGGTCATCCGGAATTACGAAGGCTACGTACGTTTCACCCGGAACTATACTCGGGATTTTAGGGTAAATGCAAATATTATGACATTTTGACAGTGTTGACGTTATGATAGCAAATCTCACAGAATCGATTTCTTTTTTTCCTCTAGCCCCAGCCCTGCCACCTCCGCAACGACAACTACGCCCCGGAGAGGTAGTTTTCTGGTTCATTTCCTCGGAAGCCTGATCGAGCTTTAGACTGCACAACCTGCGCCGAGGATTTGGCTACTGTTCTCGACGACGACGGGCCCCTCACACAACCACCAGGACTTTTTACCTATGGAAGAGATGAAGCGGGCTGCAAAACCGCAGACATGCGCTGTGTGGGGAACGGACTGATTTACCCGATGCTCAAAATCGTAAGTTGAATAGAACTAGGACTCCGATAACTGCAAACGCACGCGAGGCGCACACCGGGGCCAAATCTGTTACGCGCTAAGCCGGCGCTTTGCCGATCACATCCGCAGTTAATTTTAAGTTGAAAATTAGATACTCTGGACCCAAAATGACAAGAAATTTTTGTTTGGCGCTTGTACGAAAAGGAAAAACAACCCGCTGCTTCCCCCACCAGGAGCATCAAATTCAGCGATTAAGGTTTCGCCGCCAAAATGGGGCTCCTTGGGGCCCAAATGTGGAGTAGCTGAGGCGCCGGGCACGATCCGATGCAGCAGCAACGGCATCTGGCAGTTTTGGCCAGAGGTCACGCCCGGAGAATTCGTAAGCAATTTGTACACCTGGTCGACTGCAAACTTTTCCCGTTTGATCCCATCCTCGGATGCTCGCTATTCGAGAACTCAGAGGATTGTTAAGCACTGCAAAACTTCTACCACGGCGAAGCCATCATATTTCGAGCCAATAAATATTTGAAAATGATATTTAACACACAGACTGCTGAACAGCACCGCTCCCAGCATGGATTCATCCGATTCCCAATTTTAACAACAAGGACCCGCCGAGCTGGCTCCAGCGTGCCCGCTATTTTATAAAACTGCGAGGTGAATTATACTATATACGTGGTTAGGGGCGTACACGACCCGGATTTTTGGGGGGAGGGTCAACTCAACATTATTATGCGCGCGCCGCAGGCAAAAATTTTTATGGACAATGGATGCACTAATGAAAAACCAGCGCCGGCGAAAAATTTTGGGCAAATATTTAGGTTTCAAAGAAGTAAAAACCGTCTTAAAAGCAGTAGTAGGGCTCCCCGACACTTGCGGCGCGGACACTTGCGGCGCGACACTTGCGGCGCGACACTTGCGGCGCGACACTTGCGGCGCGACACTTGCGGCGCGACACTTGCGGCGCAGCATTTATTATTTTTAAATGTTGTAAATTTAGCATTTCTTCACGGATTTTGTTTGTAATTGTTGGATTTGTGTTCAAAATTAGCAATTTAACCGACGGGCGCTTCGCGCTCCTCGGGCGCCCCGATTTAAAAACCCTGTACGAGCTCGCACCCATCGAAGCGACTGAGCCCGGGTGGCACGAAGCCTTTTTTCAGTCGCAGAGCGGAGGAAGTAGCGGCCATTTTCCCTCCAAATTGAGCGACTTCGGTCGCAAACCCGACTTTTTAGAATTTTTTAATACCAAATTCGGATGCAGCTTATCAAATAACACCTTAAACTATTTTTATACCAAGCGATACTAAATAACCGCAAGGTCGCGCCGCAAGTGTCGGGCGCAAATGTCGCGCCGCAAGTGTCGCGGTACCCCCCGGCGCGTACGGGCCTGGTCATATTTGTGGAACCACACGTCCTCTAATTTTTCATATCTAAAAGTTTTGCCCTGAGCAAATCTCGCGGATACCTTAAATCCTACGTAGAAAATGCTGGCCTTCTCGATTCGCGACTTTCTAACGTTTCCACTTTATGATATTTCGGAATTTCAATGAATTTCTGGTACAAAATCCCATGAAAAATCACACTTTTGCACATCACGACACCTCTTTCAGTTCCCATTTTCCAGCGAGAGTTA